TGTTTCAGTACATTAAGTCCAGAATGACTCTGTCAAACCTAACGTAAAGCTGTTTTAAAAGATAACTGGCATGTAAATTATTTTGGCTGCACTACTCTCTTCCATGAAATAATTTGGTTCCCAAGATTTAATTTTTCGTGATCTTTATTTACATATATCGTTTTCGCGGACTAAAAACTCTAGACATTAAGTGTAACTAAATATGTACATATGCATGTATATATTCGACACGGTTTCAAAATTGAAATTCAACGGAAAATGTGCATGAAAAAGAAAGGCATACATATGTATGTATATTGAAAGTAAATTTAGAAATTTTTCTGACGTCATCCCAGCTCTTCCTTGGCCTTAACCCGCCGAAGTTTCTGCGCCACTTGAAAAATCAAAATCACTTTCATTGCCTGCAGCTGGCAACTTAGCAGCACTCGAGCTGTCATCCGTTTCGCTGCTATCCACAAAATTCACGCGTTTCTTCTTCTTTTGCGCCTCATTCTGTGCGGCAAGCTTATCCGCTGTCGAAAGAATCGAAGTAGGTTTCAAGACTTTAGGCTCGCCGGTCGTAGGAGGTGCAACTGGTTCAGTTACTACAGGTTCAGGCGTCGGCTCTTGTTGCAGTTCTGGCGGCGGCACATTCGCTACTTCGGCGGTAGTTGGGGTAGCACTAGCGCTGCCTTCATCCGCCGCAGTTGGTGCCGCAGCGGCGTAGGCATTGTCTTCATACGCATAACTAACTTCTTGACCCTGACCACTCTGATATTCCTGCGACGCGTAAACGCCTTCAGCAGCGCTTCCTTCGGGCGCCACATATTGCGGATCGACGACATATTGGCCAGTGGCTTCATCATATATGTAGCCCGGATATGCATTGGGATCATAGTTGCCATACTGCGTTGCATCATAATTTTCATAATCTTGTTCCGTGTACTCCTGTTGTTGTTGTTGTTGTTGCTGTTGCTGCTGCTCTTGAAGCTGTTGGTTAGCGTCGCCGCGCGCGGCATTCAAATCGGCTGTTTGGTCTGTTGGATACTCAGCGTAAGCATTTGTTGCTTCTGCACCATCGTAAGCGCGTTCTGCTGCCGCCGATTGCTGGTAGTAGTCAGAGTTTGCTGTGTCGTATGTGGCTTGATTTGGTGGTTCATTTTGGTAACTGTCAGCGGCTGCTTTTACTTCGGCAGCCTCTGTGCCGTCAATTGATGTACTATAATTGGCATATCCCATATTATCTGCATTTGCTGGAAGGTTTTGAGTTTCTATTGTATCACTGGTAGTGTTTTCATGCTGATTTCCACTGATTTCGTCAGAATTTTGACTTAACTTGGCCGGTTCTTGTTGGCCAAGTAGTTCGGTGAAGAAACCGTGCGCGGCAGTTCGCACAGTCGGTTGTGTAGAGTCGTTCAATTGTGGATTTACCAACTCGCCGTAAATAGCATTTTCTATGTTATCAATGGAGACAGGCTTTTGCTCAGTCGATGCGCTAGACATTGATGGCTTCGGTGTATATTCCACCGAGCCCGAGTGTGATTGCCATGAATTATTATCTGAAACTTCGACAACTGGTGGCTGCTGCTCTCTGGCGCTGGTTTCTTTAATAATCTCGGAGAAGGGTTTATATTCCTGCAAAGGAATCTCGTCCTCCATGTCATTGGTTTCATCTGCAATACCATACTTCTTCTCAATGTCCGCAAACTTTCGCCTGTGCTCTTCTGCTGTGTGCAACTTCATTGGGCCTAACTTCTGCCGAGTGTTTGCGGCATTCAGCTGAGTTTCTGGTTTAGTGAAAGTTTCTTCTAGTCTTTCTGAAGCTTTTGCATTGAACTTTGGTTTATTCGTTTCATCCTTCCATCCTGTATAAGGCACATAGCTGCGCACGCTGTCGTCATCGTCTTCCAGTTTAACTTCGGACATACTCCTAGTGACGCAACTAGTAGAGTCGAGGGGCCTACCGGCCGCAGTCGCCACGTGAGTTTCAGTATCTTTATCTGACATGGGTTGGCCCGAATGCTGCTCCTGCTCTACCTGTTCATTAGGGGGTAGATGTTCTGTTGTTTGCGAAGCTTTCGATTTTTCTTCATCCTCAGATCCACCTTCAATGCCCTCGCCGCGTTGTGTGGTGGCATCCGACTGCTTTGCTAGGCGCTGCTTTTGCATTGCGCTAACCTCTCGAGCAGTGCTAGTGGACTTACCAGGCAATTTTTCTTCTGTGGTATTAGTTGGATTGAGTGGGTTTTCACTCATCTCAGCACCGTAACATTGTGGTAATGTGAATCGGCTAGCAAATGTTACCGGTCCCATTGGTGAGGCATATGCCATTTGCAAAGGTTGCTGCTGTTGCATCGCTCCATATCCCAGCGGATACTGTACAAATTCAAACGGTGTGGTCGCTGGCTGTAGTGGCGCTGAGCCCATCGCAGCTGTTGGCGCTCCTCCAGTGAGCAGCAATCCTGCTGGGGTCGGTGTGGCCATAGCAAATGTCCACATTCGCGGCGTCAAAGCTGCCGACTGTGCTGCTGCTATCGCTTCGAGTCCGCCAGTAGTCGGTTGTGTAGGTGTTGCGGCCGCCATACCAGCAGCTGTTGCATCGCTTCTACGCTCTGTGGTAGTAGGCTGTACAGTTGTTGGAAGCTGTGGGGCAACAGCGGGCAATAGCACGGGTATTTGTGTCGCGGCTGGCATTGTTGTTTGCATTGACATGACCTCCGCCCCAACGCCAGTGGTTACAGTCGCATTTTGTATGCAGCGAACAGGTTGTGTTTGCATTAATTTCGCAAAATAGCGCTCGTATTGAAGCTGGATAGGATAGGGCGAAGATATTATTACGAATTCATCTGTTGTCTTGAAAAAGAAAACTTTATTAAATCTCACTCACCTTCATGCCTTTGAGTCTCTCGCTACGTGCCGATAAAGCAGCCGATTGCTCATCTATTCGCTCGAGCATTTGCATCAGCATCTGATTGCGTTCATTGCGCCGCTCCTGCTCATCCAGAAAACTTTGGTATTTTTGCCGTAGTTTTGTGCGCACGGATTTGTCACTGTCGATTGGGAAGAAAAGAATGACTGCTATGGGTTTTGTTCAGTCAATAAAAAGACGTCCCAAACTACTTACTGTTCACTCCGTCGCAGTAAAATCTGCTGAAGTTCCTTCTGCAGCTGCTGTCGATTTTCTTCGCTGAAAAAACATAGTGAGAGATAAAATCAAAATAACTTAAATCCAATAATAATGAATTTGATAATACATATAAATATAGGTTCAATACAACTCTTCCTTCAGATACCTTGCAAATTTTCCGAAGAACATTTTAACCCCTGAACTTTTAAAAACTAAAGAAATTTCCACGCAGGTTCATTCAAAATGGCAGAGAGAGAGTTAAAATGCCTTAAGCGAAGAGAAGGGAGCAGAAACGTTATTTCAAGAGAAGGCAAAGAGATAGAGAAGGACGAGAGTGCAAAGAACTGAAGTGGTTTTAATTTGAAAATGTTCTTGGCTATGGTTGCCCCCTATTCGAAAAGTCATATCTATAAAGCTATAACATACATATTTATGTACATAAATATCTTTAGATTCATGTATGTAGCGAAGGCATTTTTTGTGAAGATCATCAGATCTGCACCGTTATTTTGAATATCAAAAATGAGTTGTCAACCCAGAGAGCTTGCGCTCAAAAATATTGTCTGCTAAAAAGTTAAAAGCAGCAGCCTTCGCAGCAACAAAATTGTAAACCGCTTATTGTTTTCTCTCTTTATTGACTCTCTCTTATTGGCTCTCCGCCAAACGGTAAATAGTTCACCGCCGACAGTATCTAGAATATTAAAAAAAAACCATTTTCACAGAAAACTCAACATGAAATTGACGAACAAAGCTAAAAATTCTTCATTTTGCATGTTTTTGAAAGTCCAAGCACAACCAATATTTTAGAAGCTTTTTTCGCATTTAATTTTTAAGAAAAAAAAAATGTCAAAGGTTATGTCAGAAGTATGTATGTTTGTCTAAAAAAAAATTAAAAAGAAAACAGTTACAGATTTCAAAAGCACTCACTTTTTTCTTTATTTTCTATAATTTTGTGAATTTTTTTAAAGATTTACTAACTTAAATGTAGCTGCTCAAAAAATCTAAAAAAAACAGTACACAAAATCGATTCCAATATTTCACTCACGGACAACGACTTTGACCACCTGCTAAGCAGTTTTCGTTCGGTTTTTAACAAAAACCAAAGATATCGTTATTTGGTTTGAATTTTTCTTTGTGAAATGCCAAGGACCGAAAGCTTATTTTTTGAAGTAAGAGAAACGATTTTTTGACACAAAAACTGGACAAATTACCCGTAGTAAAACATCACAAATTTGCAAAAATTAGCCTAGTTAGTTTCGCTGGTGAGGTTTGATGCATCCATCGTGGACAGCATGACCTTTGAACTCTTACATTATTATGTTTTTCCTGTCTCTGAAAACTTCTCTTCATGGTTGACCTCACAATGGGCCTGTGAAAACCACTTGCTTCAGAACCCATAAAAGTTTTACAGTTTTAGAAGAATTTCTCTAAATTTTATGCAATAATCTGCTGGAACTATTTCACTGTACGGTAGTTTTTGTCTGCTCTTGAAATACACTTGACAACGTTTTGTGGAACTTTCTAGTAAGCGCTAAATGTTTTAATAATTTTAACATCTTTTCATTCGTTTTCTTTTGAAAAACTTCATTTTTAAAGTTTTGTTATACATAAATATTTTTTCGAACACGTACGATTCGGCTTAGAATGGTGGCAGTAAGCCTATCTTTAATATCTGTCAACTACTACTCACTTGCAGTTAATCACACGTCATAAGCCCACTTAAGTGCATTTTTTCCAACTTTTCAACTAAATATTTTTTAACAGCAGCAGTATATATTTTTTTTTTTTCGAAAAAGTATGGAATGGTACACACTACTAGATTTGTTACGAGAATTAGTCGCCTCTCACGTAGGGTTCGAAATTTCAGACTTTGGTATCGATACTGAGTACTTATTCTGGCATCGAGCTCATGGTATCGATACTCTAAAAGTATCAGGGAAANGATACTAAAATTATTTTGTTCTTCAATCGTATATCTAGTTATTTCCTGAAATTAAAACAATAGACATTTAAAATATTTGATTTTTATTTCATTGCAGAACTTACTTCCACGTTAGAAGTAATTTAAACGTTAAATGTACATACATACATACACATATATTTACTTTCACGAATTTTAAATTTGATTAAGAATTTTTGGAAACTTTGTGGGTATGCATTTTTGTAACCTATTTAATTTTGTTTAATATTGTGCGAATTTTAATTAAAAGTCAACGGTAGTAGGCTACACGGAAAGTTGAATAGGTTACAAAACTGCATACCCTAAAAGTTTCTAAAACTGCTGTATTTTCGTGAACTTTAAAGTATAGTTTAAAGTAAAGTTTTATGGCCTTATTCATAAAAAATAAAAAAGGTTTATAAACTGAAGAATGTACTTTATTTTTTATGAATAAGGCCATTAAACTTTAACTTATTTGGTTTATGTTATGTAACAGACTAGACGAGATTTCAGTTTATTTTAAGTGATGGACAAAATTGAATGATAGTAATCCATATAAGCAAAGAAAATTGGGTTGCCAATGGAAGACAAAATTTAAAAAGTGTGTTTTTTAAAAAGTATTCGATACTACGAGTACTTTGGAAAGTATCGAGTAAAATCGCCAAATAAGGTATCGAGTATTAAAGTACTCATTTTTATACCCTCAGTATCGATACTTACTCAATATCGATAGTAGTTAACTAGGTCATGTGACCGTCATCATGTTTATTATATAATCCATTTTTCTCCGCATAAAAATTACTTAAAAAACAAACGCACAACACTTTAACACACTTTTTATTCGCATTACCTTTGTTTGAGCTTTTCTTGCAACAAATCCACTTGCAGTTTGTAATTATCCAACTCCGATTGGGGGTACATGTTGCACCACAGCAACTGCATTAAAATCCAAAACTCAATAAAATAAACTATTAGTAGATTAGGTTTATGTCGATGAAAGTCCTCTTAATCGGTTAAACGCTACTCCGCAACTGAAAGTTTGTCAACTGCTTTGGCCAACTAAAGGAAATACAGGGACGCGCTGACAGAGCATTTTCTGAACTCATTCGCCCGTTTTATTTTTTCTCTTTCGTTTGCACGCTTTTATGCGTTCCAACTGTCGGTTACGTCCTGGATTCGTATATTATTTCATTGCAGGACAATATTTAATACAAACACCACCAACAAACATTAACCACTAAAGGATATACATACATATGTACATTAGGGTGGGCCAAAAATGCGTGTGAAAAAGTAAAGTGGGAATTTTTATGCTCTCACCACCTAGGATTATTCTATATCGAAATCAAATTATATTTAAATCAAAAATAGGTAGCTCAAGGCGCTCACAGTTTTCCATGCATTTTTCGTAGAAATGGTTAGAATTCTTATAAATTGATATTTTTCGATCGGACAACTCTATTTTTCTTCAGGAGATTCCCGTTTATTCTCATTTATTTAACCATTTTTTCATAGTAACTAGATTTTGGAGGTCCGCCAAAACCCCCCGAAAATGCAATGGCGAGATAAATAAAAAGTCCATAGTATTAAAAAATGATTAAATAAACCATTAGGTATTCCCGAAGAGAACCAGAATTTTCTGGTCGAAAAATATTGGTTCTCAAGAATTTTATGTCATTTCTACGAAAAATTGCGTTTAAGCGACCTCTAAATATTTTTTGATTCCAAAATAAAAACAGGGGCACATTTGTTCGATATAGAACAATCCTGAGGGTGAGAGTATTGAAATTCCGACTACCCTAATGTGCATATATAGCTTGTTTTTGTTTTGACTGTTGTTATGGTTACACGTGGCAAGTGTATCGACATTTGGCCGTTACACCTTGAGGTACGAGTAGCATTAAATACACACAAATAGGTTAATGTGTATGCAATACATAACTGGCCTAAGTACATATGTATATACATATGGTTGTACGTATTTCTACGTTTATATATGTAGATGCATACCTCGAAATGTGTACATTAGTTGACACAACATTTAGAGGTTATGCGTGACGGATATACCTAGTATAGCAGGCACAAGATACAAAATAAGTTATTTTTTTAATAAATATGTATATATATATATATATATATGCATAGTTACATACTTAATACTGTGTGCTGGTACTGGTACGAGAGTAGCTTTTCGAGAGTATTCACATCGCAAAATTCGTGATCGAAAATTCTTTTTTTCCATTCATATAAAGCGACTCGGACGTATAGTGGGTCCGTTGTGAGCACTTTGGGACTTAGTCGAGGGTTCATTTACCAAGAGAAAGAGCATTAGTGATATGCTGAGTCGATTCATTTAAGTATTGATCGATACTCGGTACTGATTTCAAAAGTTTTCAATGCATTCGATACTCGGTACCTAAATAATTAGGTTTCTAATAAAACCGCACATAGGCCGAAAGTATGGAAAAAAGCGGTTCAAGGGGGCGACCCGTCTATCAAAAGCCGAAAGAGCTTTTAATACTTATTCAAATCAAAAATGTATACATATGTACATATATTTCGGTCTATGTCATAATCGGACGGTATTTTCTTTGAAGACCTGAAAGGCTTCTCCATCCGTCAAAGCATTTTTCTTGAGCCTTGTATCTACCAAGGTGAAAACTGATAGAAAAAAATATTTTACTATTGCGATAAGTTCAAGGTTTTAGCCGATATCATACAAAATAGCAATGGAATAATTGGGTACCGACAATTCAGCACATCACTACAGGCCATTAAGCCGCTCAACAACTTGCTGTCCTTCTGAAATCTCACTGACGGAGAAGCATGAGCAGGTCGCTTGATTCGCGCTTCGGTATTATTGGAGCATCCGTCCAATAGTCAACGGCCTTTTGGTGTGGAAGGTAAACGTCTTTACTGCAGATCTGTTGAATTTTATAAGGCCCTTCGTAATTTTCCAATTTGATCACGGTCATAATGACTTAGAGACCTCACAATCGTCGAGTTTGGTCCGTAAGACATTTACAATTGTAGATTTTTCCGGAGCATTTCAGAGCCAGAACTTTCGGCGATATTTTTTATGTTGCATAGACGCTTGTAGGCAACAGTGACAAGCTTTGAAAGCTACAGTAACAACATTGGAATATTGTCTACAATTGTCTGAAATTTAACGTTTTAGTAAATATTTCGCGAGTGTTAGCGCACTTTGAACGAAAGCTAGAACATGCGCAATTGCAAGGTAATTCGGGAACAGGTTGGAGCTAGAGTGGTGGTAGAAGCTTTAACAGCTGCAGCTCTCTCTTTTTTGATAGGGGTTCCGCCAGGTCACTAGCCGATCGGAGCTCAGGCGGTAAAGCTAAACCCTTACTGTCGCAGTTGGCTGACGGATGATGGGGTAAGTAAGACTTAACACTTTTTACTAGCTGTTTTGCTAGTCTATGAATATCTTGGCTTTCACTTTCTAACCACCTCTGAAGAACTCAAGGAGAAATTATTCGCACTTGTAAGTTCGTGATTGGATCCTGGAGTTTCACCAAATAAGCAGTGATTCTTAACGGGACAACCACCCCAACCCTACATAAACGATTTTGCTTTGCGATGTGATTTTTGCTTTTAATCCTTCAGCCGATGTATGTATTTTCTAGCGTTTTCCAGGCTTTTCACGGCAGCATTTTTTCAGAACTTTTCGCGACTTTTAGGCGCTGCTTTGGAGTTGTTTAGGGGCTAGTTTCTCAATGTCTGGTTCACACTAACTGCAGGTTAAACATCGTTATCGACGTGATCGACCCCATAACATATAAAAGGAAGTCGATAACGATGTTTAAGCTGTACTTAGTGTTATCAGACATTGAGTAACCGGCCCTAAGTCTTACTGACTTTTTCGGAATTTTTAAGAACTTTTCCTGTTTTATTCCTGACTTTTTGTATTAGAAACTTACTTTATTTTTTTTTATAATTGAAAAAAAATCATAGGGAAATATAATAAAATTAACAGAATTTCTTGCTAAAAATAAAAAATAAAAAAGATTAAAAATTTTTTTGGTTTTTAAACTGGGGCTAAATATAAATTATATGCAGCTGGGTTACCAAGTGTCCCTGAATTGAAGAAAACTGTATTGTTTGCTTCATTAGCATAATTTATTGATTAACATTTCTAAATGTGTGAATGTAAATACAGCATATGTTGGGTTTACTTGTAGTAGTGTATGTTCAAGATCCAAAAAGTTAACAACAAAGAAATTAAAGATGAGCCATACTGCAGTCCATTTAGACTTTGAGTGCAAATTTTCAACACAAAACGGTACAAGTGTACATACTTATGTACATGTGTATGTATGTATATGAAATAGAAGTTGTATTTGAATTTTCATAGTCACCCTTTGGTGTTAAATGACGCATTTGTAACAATTTCCGCGACTTACTGCATTTACACCCCGTGTCAAAATTATAAGCGCACCACATTTTGACAAGTTTTTGTTATTTAATTTAATTTTTATTAGTTATAAATCCAAATTTCAAACTTTGCGCAATACGTAAAAAATCAACAAACTTTTGTAAAAATTTCGAGTTTTTAAATTAGATTTCTTATGCTGGATTTCCATTAGACCTTAAATGGCAGAAGTTTTAATGACAAATTTGGGCATACAAAAATATTCTTGTCAATACTTAACAAAAAATTTTAGTTTAAACATGGCATTTTTTAAATACCTCCAATTTTTCGTTATTTCAATGCCTAGTAGATATTCGGCACTAGAAAAATTTTAAGTTTGCTGTTCTGTAGCTCATTTAATAAAGTGTAAGCTTGAAGTGGCTAAGACCTACCGTTGATTTTTGGAAATTTTTTTCTCATTTTCTATTTGACGAAAAATCGTAGAAAAAAATTTTATATGAAAAAAAACGTAAATCACTAAAATTTAATGTGCTACGAAACTGCATACTCAAAATCTATCTAGAAAGTTTTATTAAAGAGCTTGAAATTTTTACGGAGTAGTTTGAAATTTATATGTATACGGTTTTTAAATAACAAAAACTTAATTGTCCAAATGTGGTGCGCTTATAAAATGTATGCGGAGTGTATATGCCAATAAGATAGTCTGTACAAGAAACAATTAGCTGACTAGGTCAGTGCGGCAAATTTGTTTGCAAAGTATATACTTACATATATATGTATGTATGTATGTATGCAGTAAGTTGGTGGGACATTGCTGCGGTAAAGGCACACTTTTAGGGTTGCATGCCAGGTGTGCAGATGCAAGTACTAAGCTTTCNGAGTGTATATGCCAATAAGATAGTCTGTACAAGAAACAATTAGCTGACTAGGTCAGTGCGGCAAATTTGTTTGCAAAGTATATACTTACATATATATGTATGTATGTATGTATGCAGTAAGTTGGTGGGACATTGCTGCGGTAAAGGCACACTTTTAGTGTTGCATGCCAGGTGTGCAGATGCAAGTACTAAGCTTTCGATAAAAACGAGATTCGCATACTTAAATAACACAAAATACAAAAAAAAATGCAGCATTCAGTTAAGCGCTCTCATCTTATCTATTATCCTTACATTAAAAATTCTGCCANCGATAAAAACGAGATTCGCATACTTAAATAACACAAAATACAAAAAAAATTCAGCATTCAGTTAAGCGCTCTCATCTTATCTATTATCCTTACATTAAAAATTCTGCCATTTTTTTCAGCTAGCCCGTTTTTCGGATATATGAAAGGATATGATTTTTTTTTTATATGTAATGGCAAAAAAATTAGCTAATCTATAAAATAATCGACTAGATACTGAACTTTTTAAGGAGATTTCTCCCATTACATAAATAAATAGTTAATTAGATGTATTTTTCGAGAACGAAAATGACACTGAAGATGGCACAACGCCGAAACCGGTTTGTCTCCAAACCAAATTTGACAAGGGATGACGGAAATTCGTTCCAAAACACATCATACACCCACCCTGTCGGAAACAAAAACAACCAAAAAGGAAAGTTAATTAGATATTCTCAAAAGAAGTGCGAAAATTATAAACGAAAAAAAAATTAACAAAGTAATAAA